GGGGGGGTTCAACAATTTTTTTTGTTTTTCCCCCTTTTTTTGTTTGAAAGGGCGACGGCCTTGAGATATCACCGGCCCCCCAGGGCAATTCGGAAATAGTCGTAGTTGGTTTTACAACTTTTACTCATCACCAGGTTCCATCATCATCTGGATTCGAACACAGCACCTGGTCTGTATTTTCAACAGTTCATGGGTGTGGTCCCCACTGAGCTAGGCTCTTGGGTATCATCTTCTTCTTCTGCACAGCAACCATGCTAATCTTCTGCTTTTTTTTTGTTATTATTATTTGAAAAAAAAAAAAAAAAAAAAAGGGCGACCGCCTTTGAAAGATCTTATTCGCGGGACCAGGGTACTCGGTCGGTAAGGGGGAGGCTAGAGAGTGCCGAACCTACAACCAGGACACTCGGTTCTTAGGGACGCAGTGGTCCACTAGGAGAGTGTCCAGGAGGCAGAGGAACAGGGTTTCCACCAGGTCGTGTAGGTCTGGTCGCCGCAATTAGGCGTCTGAAGTAACCTAGGTAGGTTAGAATAAGTGATAGATTTTAGGAAGCATTCAGGATTATTATATTGGAATTCTTTGTTAAAAGTGATTCAGATGATTTGTTAAAGTTTATGAGTGGGATGGTTAAAGAGGCCTCAGCTTGCTGGGACCCTAAGCTAAGCCGGCTGAAGCTGCCGGGATAACTCCGGGTGGAATTGTGAGGTCCCCGGCGATTGGTTGTTAATGGAATGATGATCTGTTTAAAAAAAAAAAAAAAAAAGATCTTATTCGCCCGGTCTTTTTTCTTTCTTTCTTGGGTAGACATTTTTTTAATTATTATATCCCGAAACCGGGGACTCCCACTTGCACGAATTAAGAGATACTGACCGTAGATATAAAAAAGATCAACGGCCAAAAACTCCTAATTTGCGCAAGTGGGACCTAGCCCGGGTCCGGTGTCCAACAACAAAGAACCAGGAACAGAGGGACGAATAATGGCTGCTGCTCCGCTACACAACACTCGTACATGCATATGGATGCTTTCTGGCCCAGGTGCACTTGGACGATTCCAGCATTTCGAAAGGATCTGGTGCACAGAACGTCCAAATGCATCTAGAGTGTTGTGTAGCGGAGCGAGTCCCAAAGTCACAGGCATCCATAGTTGCATTTTGTGGTCAGTAGCTGGCGGTAAAGGCGCCCAGATGCATCGGTGTGTGTATACTCCAAAAAGGTAAAAAGGAGACTAGAAAGAAAAGGGGTATTGTCTAGGAAACAGCGGAACGTAGGAACAGGTACTCTGGAGGCAAAAATGGCGGGAGATGGCGGTAAAAATGGCGGGAAATGTCGGGAAATGGCGGAAAATGGCGGGAATTGTTGGATTCGATAATCTGACGTGGCGTTGAGTTGGGATCTGTGTGCTGATTATTGCAATCTAGCGATCTTCCTCGGCTTCTCCAAACATTGCCTCGTGTTTCTAAGGCCCCCCCCCCAACGTGTCACAGCGCTGCTGAGCTGGCCTGCGATTTGGTGACGTGGAAAGCGACGTGAACTTTTCGGGTACAGTTTGTTTATTTTCCGATATTCTGGGTACGTAGGATTTCTGGGTAACCTTTTTCACCCTTTTTTTTTTTTTTTTTTTTTTTTTTTTTTTTTTTTTTTTT